TATGAGTTTATTTTCCAGGAAATGATAATGTCTTACAGGATTCTATGTTTATTTATGAAAATGTTAATCTTTCAAAAAGATGGATTATACTAGTTTGAATCTGAGTACTAACACATCAATAATATATAGTCACACAAACTGTTATGACACTTAAACTTCATGATCAAAACAGTTAACTTAGAGTATTGAAGCCATGTCATATGATCGATATGCAATATCCACTATATTTTAGTTGGAATGTTTGTAAATGTTTTCACTATAATACTAAAATTTATTGATATACTAAAAAAACTAATACATATTTTGCAGTATTTTTAATTAATTAATAGCTTAACTTTTTAATATTTGGCATAGTCCTCGGAAATATATCATATGAGAATATATTGATATGTGTTTTTTTAATTACTGAATTAAATACTGCTATGTTGTGATTTCATCAATTACCCGACATTATGTATTTAAAATATTTACGCACCATCACGATTATATTATCAGTTACAACATCTACATAAACTTATATTTGTAAATCAAGGTTTTAATTTTTAATTTTTATTTAACTAATAATTACATTACAAAGGTTTGGTTTTGTTCAGTTAAAAAAAAGGTTTTGTTTTGCTTACCTTTGATTTACTAGATATAGAAAATTAGAAGCAGTGTTAAAGTCTTGAAGATTAGGCGGCCGAGTTGAATGAAGAAGGAACATTGACAGAGAAGGTGGTCCGTCATTCTCTTGTGCCGGTGACAGTCAATCTTTGATTATTTTTCTGTTTTGTTTTTGGGGTTAGGTTTTTTCTTCACACGTTTTAATAACACGTTTCTTGTCGTTATTACTCAGATTAGTTTGTATTCTCTTACTGTCATTATTATTCAATCAGCATTAAACGAGTCTAAATTACGTCTGAGATTAAGACAAAATATATTATACTAATGTTCTGCTAAATTTTTTTAACTGCATTCGAGAAAGAGATATATGCTTACTTTTGAAATGATGTAAACAGCTCAAGGAGAAAGATATAAAGTATATACACTGTATCTTAATTTATATATAACGTGCATGCATTTTATAAATAAATATAAAATGTGGAAGATAATTCAATTTAGAGCCATTTTTTTCTTTGGAAATAAGTTAAGACCAAAGCTTGGTCAATGCTAGAAAATAACACATTTTGGATAATATAATGTAAATAGTTTTTATCAAATGGGCAAGTAACCAGCTGGATTAGGATTGAGACAAATCAACAACTTAACATTCTATATAGTTTTTTAAGCTGACTATTTCAGAATTTTGGTTAGGCGTCAAAGGTTACATAACTAATTTTGACAATTTTGATGCTAAAGAAATTGACCACAAACAAACTTAATAGAAACACCGTCAATAATAATTTGGTTTAAGCTAACTTAGCTATGCATTGTTATTGAAACATCAAACACGGTAACCACTAGTGTCTGCTTAAAAACAACTTGGTTCGTTAGAAAAACATATTAGTTATAACTTATAACTAACGTTATGGAAGTATATAAAAATTTCGTGAACTGCAGCAGCTGCAAACAATCCTTTCTGATTTCGGGGTTTTACTGAACTTTTGTTCATTTTGTTGTTATATATATTTGTTTTTTGTTACTAAATTTGGATTCAAAATAGGATTAAGCTTAACAATTATAAAGTTACCTTTATCTTTTGGTAGAAGTACTGTACGTTCCACCTTTGTTTGCTTTCTCCTTTACGCTCATGATTTTCAACGAGCTACCAAACAAATCATTGACTTGTTAACAAAATCCCATGCAAAAGTAAGTAAAGATAGTATTTCCCACTGATTGATTTTTCATTAAAAAATGAAGTAGAATCGTTAAATCTAGTGTAAAGGCTCCCTCCATTACGGGAATACTTACCTGAGCAAATTTTGTTCTAAGTGGTTTGTTTTGTTCTGAATCGTGATATTATATGGACAGCTGATGCATGGTAGTAATTAATCAGTACTTTCAACTAAAGAAACATTAGATACTGAACGTCTTTAATCACATATTCACATCATTATTCTTTCTATTTGCCTATCACATTAGTAATAAATATATTGCATTCATTTTCGAAACTTGTTTGTTTGTCAATTCGCTTAAAACTTTCTTTTAACAAATTATTGAGAAGATTTATTCTTTTTTTTTCATTGTAATATAGTACCAATTTTTCTTTTGGTGTGAAAGCATTGCAAAGGTTCATGGACTTCATTGCGTCGTGGGGGGCCAGGCGGCTTTCATCATCTTTTGATTTTGTCTTCTCTCAGGAAAAACTCGTCCCTCTTTTATTTTCTTACTTGTTTTCCAGAATGCATAATTGTTAGTAATCTTTACCGTACTTACCATAACTGAATGATACAAACTTTGAACATCTGACCATTTTGATGTAGTAGTCCATGCCTAAGTTGTGATATATTTCCCCAATATTATCTACCCAGCAAGTAAACTACAATGATTATTAAGCTAACAATATTATTGTATATTACATTTATAAGTAAAATTGAGAAAACACTAGACGATAGTGAAATGCACTACTACATGTACACATGTAGTAGGTACTGACTACTGACAATTAGACCAAGACCTTGCGAAGTTTCTTTTGCTTTAGGGAAATTAGGTTTTGTTACTACTTATTATATACGTTTTGAATGATAAAATTTATGTGTTACAAAAAAAAAAAAAAAAAAAAAAAAAAGAATGATAAAATTTATAAGTTAATTCAGAAAAGACTCGACGATAGTGAAATGCACTACATGTACATTACTAGTAGGTAACTGAGTACCGAATATTAGACCAAGACCCAACCACTTTTTTTGGTTTAGGGAAATTAAGTTTTGCGAAACATAATACATAAATGGATCAATCTTATCACTTTTGCTTTCTAATCCCATTGGCTCCAAATTAACAAAACATGGATATCATAACTGGAAAATAACATTAGTTATAGAGTTGCATACATGCTAAACTAAACAACCATCTACTTATCACTAAAAATACGTAATCGCTTTGGCCACCTTTCCATTTATAACCGTGCGTGTCTAGATAAAAATACCTTGTAAAATTAGTCTAAACTTACTAATGGGATCTCCCAAGATTATCAAAAAAATATATGAAAAAATACATAATCCTTCATTGTTTTATCCAAGAGTGATATACTTTAATTTCATCTATATTTGGTAAAGTAGTCTACAAGCAAAATATCAAAAGAAGACTTATTAATATTAGCTAAGAATATAATTTGCACCAAAAAAATATATATTTGGTACCTTGGAACTATGACAAAGTATAATAATTTCTTAATAATTAGACTAAAATATAATATACAACTACAATACTGTTGGTTAGGTGGAAGTAGAATATATACGTATCTTTTTGGTAAAATGTTAATAATATATATATATCCACTTGAATCAATATTTGATAAAATATTTCAGAATACGAGTTTTCTTCCATTTTTTTCCTCTTTCGTGTAAATAAAATATAAAATTAGTAACAATTCCCCAAAGTCAACCAAAAATAAATCTTAAAGAGCAAACTAAACACTTATTGGATATGATGAAATAGTATGTTAAGTCACCGACTAGCTAGGAACAGTGTATATCGTGCAAATATAATCTACAATGTTTTTTTGGTGTAATATAATCTAATCTAATCTACAATGTTAGCTCAACTCCATTGAACATTTCACACCCCCCCCCTTCCCAACCCAAAAGAAGGAAGAAAGATATATAGTAAAACGTAGATCTTTTAGGTTATTTATTAATGGAATAACGTACAACTTCTAGTTTATTTATCAAGATATTTTGTCTTAGAAAGAAAAGCAAAAAAATACTAGTAAAACACTAAAACAGCTTCGTTTATGTTAAACATCAAATAAATGACGTCCAATATTAGCACTACGTTTTGATAAGGTTGAAAAGGTATTAACATAAATCAAAATTAAAGTAGTTCAAGTGGTTAGAAATAAAACAATAGTAGGCTATTTTCTATATACTAAACTTTTCAGCTTCGGTATCGATTGTCAAATTAGAACTCTATCATTGAGGGGACGACTCCAAAACAGATTTATTATTTTATGGTTAAGTACTAAGGACGTTAAAATATATGTTCCAAAACTAGTGGCTAAACAAATACGTATTGCTTGTAATACTATCAAAGCATATTTAAGATATATAGTGATAAGTCGTATTTGTCTTTTAGTTTTAGCAGTAAATATGGACAAAGTTTATTATCCATAATGAAAATATCATAAGAACATTATGCTAAAAATCGATTTGCCTCCAAAGTCGCATAGTTATTCCTCATAATTCAACTACGGAGACATCTGCTTGGCCATAATTCAACTACGCTTCTTGAGCCATCTTGTCATATCATTCTTACTGTAAATAGCTTGTTCATTTTGTACTTTTCGCAAACTCTTATTTATTTTGGCTAAAAAAGTCATTAATAACAGAGAGAAATCTTGAATACATTAAATCATATTGTTATGATCAAATCATGACTCCGAAAGCAATCACGTCTCTCTGTTTGATACAGAAAGTGTACACATTCATACAACGAATGTAACAAGATAACGTTACATAATCATAATTCAAACACAAAAAGATATCAATAAGAAACCAAAGCTATTAAAAATTATCTTTAGTATCACAAGTCGTCCACTACTACAGCACCCACAAACACGTCTTCATGATACATATACATGAATTATTGTTGTAAGACAAAATATAAATCGTTTCAAAACTGAAAGAGAAGACAAAATGTAGAGGAATACAAGTCAAAAATGTGAATTGAGAAAGACGAAAATTTATATAATTAAAATTTTATGGAGAAAGCAGAGCAAAATAATATAGAAATTTCATCAAACCAAGGATCAACGATTCAATCAATATGGACCTTTTGATAGCATCAACGCAAATTTATAACAAGAGAGGTGAGCTTTGAAATCTAGGAAAGGAACCAAAAATTAAAATAGCCTTTTAAATTTTTATATCCTCAGATTCTACACATTCCAACATATATGTTTCTTTTTAAGTTTCTATATGCTTTAAGGATACAAATAATACAAACAAGTAATGTAATGTTCGGTTTCATTGAGATTCTACTTGAAAGAGGATGTCTCTTCTCGCTAAAGACTAGCAGCAGCAGAGGCAGAGACAATAAATAACCATTTGGTTGATGTCGTGTCATCACCTCCTTCCTCGTTGTCCCGGTCTTGAAGTTGGTTTTCTTGAAAACTGGAGCCGTAAGGACTTGGAATCAGGGTCGTTTTCATCCATTCGATAGCCTGTCAAACGTATTGGTTTTTAAATAACATGAGCTTTACAAGATAGCTGCATAGGATAAGGTCTAGGGTTGCCCTTTTGGCAACTCAACTGAATCTATCACAATCCATTACATAAGAGGATGAAAACAGACTTATAATAAATTTGAAATAAGATATTTGGTGGAGCTTATAATATACCTTGTAAGGTGCTCAGAGCAGTTGCTGCACAGGCAGGGTTTGTAAAATCAACAAAGCAAAGAACAACAGGATCTCCGTTACGCTGCATTTAGCCATAAACATAACAAACCCTTTACTAGTATCTATCAAAGTAATAAGACTTCTGAAACAAAGAGATTCTTATTCGAATATTTAAGCACAGAGATCTTACGTGTTTGGAGTCTTTGGTGACAAGTCTCACTTCTCTATATCCTACAAAAGGTCGAAAGATATCTACACACCGGTTAAGGAAAGTAAATAGGTTTCGTCAAGAATAAAAACTTTTGTCAAAGTGTGATGAAAAAAAAGGATACGAGCAACTTCCCTCCTAGAGCAATTAGAAGGAAGACCTTCAACATAAAGAGTATTTGACGCATCTGGAGGTAAAGGAAGTGGGTCACGGTTACGCCTATCAACAGAATCTAACGGATCAAAACCCATATCACGACCATTTAAGCCGTGAACTCCACCACCACGTCTCATCATAAACTCATCCATCGCAACACCGTTACGTGGACCTGAATCTCCTCCCAGTGGCATAGAACTTGTTTGCTTCAAAGAAAAGAAATAAAACTTCAGCTCAAAGAAAATGTTAGAAAATGAATCAAGAAGAAGAAGAAGGAAAAGTAACCACGCTTTGGAGGTAACGATCATAAGCTGATCCTATAGTTCTTGTATCAATATCTTCATCCCTCGGATAATAACCACCACCACCACCACCACTGTGCAGCTCATGGCCTGCTAATGGTGGAGCTTCTACAAAAACATGTGACATTCACAATGTGTTGAAATCTAGTGATGATTAATAGCATTAGTCTCTAATTTGCTCTAACTATACGCTGAAACAATAATAATAATAATAATAATAAGATCTCTCTTTGCCACATAGCCAATTTAGTTTTTGTGACAACCCATCCTGTGAGGCGCACCGATCCTAACCCTCAGCTCTCCCAAGTAGGTTATTGATGCGCTTGGCGTTACTCGAACCCAAGACCTCCACCCTTTAACAACACTTCCACATGACAAGTTGTTGGTGTTATTGATGCGCTTGGCGTTACTCGAACCCAAGACCTCACTCTTTAACAACTCTCCACAAGAACAACTTGTCCTGTGGAAGTGCTGTTAAAAGGTGAGGACCTGGGTTCGAGTCTCACCGACAACCTAATGGAAGGGTTGGGATCGGTGCCCTGCAGAGCCAGCCTGGCGGTCATGGGGCGGGTAGTTCCCACACGGGGCAGGTTGTTACAATTTTATTCATCTGATTTCCAGCATTTATTTTAAATCACATTCAAGTAAACTACTACGATCATGACTATCACATGACATTGATGATCAAACTGCTTCTTCTAGCTATATATAGAGAGGGAAATGAGGTTACCGAAATCGGAACGGCGACGTTTCGGAGGACCAGCTGGAAGGTGTTGCTGCTGGTTCCAGTACCTATCCGCCATTGAAACAGGAAAATCGAGGGAAGTAGAAATCCTAATTTCAATTGGATATCTTCGATTCTAGCTCGCTAGTTTCTTCTTCACTTCCCAATCGTCTCTCCCCCGCGATTCTCAATTGCTTTAGAGTTCAATCTCGGAATTTTCTGATTCCTTTCTTCACTCGGAGTTTAAGATCCGAATCATGACGATCCGGATCCGATACATACCAGGAGCATTAATCTCTCTTTTAGTGGGCTCTGATAAATCATCATCGCCTTGGCCCATATTTAACAAAGTTTGACTTTCTGGGCCCATTTGCTTCCATTGAAGTTATGGTTTTATAAGAAAGTTTTAATAAGTAGGAAGTCTTAAACAATGTTTATTGTTTTTTTTGTTTTTACCATGTTAATTTCTTTTTTTTTTGGTAAAACTGTTAATTGTTTTTGTTACCATGTTAATTGTTTCTAAGTAAAGACCATCTCCAACCCACCTCTATTTTCATCTTTATAATTTCTTCTAAAGAATCTCTATTATAAAGGTAGAATTACTCATGTCCCTTTCATTTTCAATAGATGATCAAAGAATTTTATCTACTAAATCAACTTTTTTTGTTGATAAAAATATACAAATTACTTTTGCGATATCATAATGAATGTGTGCAAAGCGTATCGCGGATTGGGGAATGTCTATCCATAGCTTCTTTCTTAAATTCTTTGATCTTGTCTTGGAGTATTTATGATTCTCCCATTTGTTGACAAGCGATATCACATGAAGAAACTTTGAATAAGTGAACTACTAGTTTTTTTTTTGAAAAAAGGCTTATGAACTACTACTTGATGTATATAAATACATATGTATAAAGAACGACAAAATGAAAACAAAATGTTTTTAATATTACAAGTGTATATATAAAGGTAGGAGATGTGGAGATGTCATAGGTAAAGAGAGGGGTCCAATGCAGAAGAACAACCAACAAAGTAAGTAGATATCCATGTTTCCTTGGAGTTTTTCTTTTTGTTCACCGAAACTTTCTTTTGTTCTCAAGCATTTGCCTTCATCATCATTTTTTATTTTATTTTTTATTTCTCTAAAGTTCAATCATACAATCTATCATCACACTACCTCCTCTTACGTTAATTTTACCACCAACAAAGCTTTTTACTATAGGTTTTAACCGTTTTATGCATGATGCTATTTAAAATACAAATTATATGAAGAATGTTTATATAGTGAGTTTTACGTTTCATTAAGTTTTATATGCACCAGATGTATGCCATTGGTATAGTCACAAAGATTGTAGACGACTACGTACGTACGTATGTATTGTTCCTTTCAAGGCACTCAAAATTTCCTAATTAAAATAGGTATTTGATTTTTAAGTCTACTTTCATCTACTTATTAATATAATACATTTATAGTATTCAAATGACAAATATACTGTATTTTGTTTTAGTCTAGATGGCACAAACATTTCAACATACATATTAGGATATGTTATAAATATTATGCGTATTATAACATATATCTTGTATGGAAAATTGAACTACAACTTTTGTGTCTTGATTCTCGGGCACGTATCATCCAATCCAAGGTTTCGATTTGCTTTTACAATACCAAGACTAGCTAGATCCTATGTAATTATGCATTGCTATCAAACAAAATCACATTCATATTCGTTTATAACCACTACGCTATTTACTCTGTCGGTGAAAATTTAAAGGATTACACAAGTTAAACAAAAGAGACCATATATAAAGAAGTATAAATTGATCAAAGAAGAAGAAGAAAAAGTAGAAAATGGAGTTGCATTATTGTTGTTTTCACCAAAAAAGGTGATACATTCTCCTCGAGTAACTCCCCGAATTATGGAGGGAAAGCACCAGACCAGACGGGCCCACTCATCCTACTAGGGTCTTTTTAGTCTTTTCACTTCTACAGGCAACTAACATTCAACGTGACTGCGGCGAGGAGTAAACCCCTCCCTCCTTGTAATTTACCATTATAGCCCCAATCTCGCCGCGTGAGTTTTTAGACCGGAGTCAAGGAGCCAGCCTAACCTAACCTGAATTACCATTAAAAAAACAGTTTCATTAATTTTAATAAAACGATTTCAAACATGATTATCGATTAAAATGATCTGGTTAAAAGAATAAAACCAAAAAAGTCAAATATATTATTCACATAATAAACAAACACAAAATCTCATTAAAATATACTGCAGGTAGGTGATCAAATGTGTTTTTATATAATAAACTCAACACGGGTTATAAAAGTCGGTTTAGTTGACCTTGTGGATTGCCTGGTTAGCTCTAAAATTGATACGAATACGATGCATCCCATTCTCATACAACCAACAAATAATTAAAAAAAAAAATTTGTGTGTATAAATCATGGTTAAAACGAATCATATCAGCTCTGATTTTCTTGGTTCGTATCACTTATAAACTATAATAGTGCCGATTTCAATTTTGGATTTCTCGTTCATCTTTGTTACAAAACCAAAATGTGCTTTGTAATAAAAACTTGCCGATTTCAATTTTGGATGTCTCGTTCATCTTAGTTACAAAACCAAAATGTGCTTTTGTAATAAAAACATGCTTACTTTAAGGTTTTTTTTGTCAATAGTTTTAAGGTTAATATAAACAAAAATTAAAATCGTAATTTGATTTACTCGAAATCGAATGTACTACTGCATGGGGAACGCCCCAATACTTTTTTTTCCCATTCACTAGCCTCAATAGACTCTACATATTATTTTCTAAAGTATCCATATAAGATATTTAATACAAAAATGCAAAAGTATTAAATAATTCTAAAAAAAAAGAAACAGTTTCCTTATATATAAAAACATTTAATTTTTTCGTATTTTACCGTCGTCACTTTAGTTTCTTCCCTTTGTCATCGCTGTCTCTGACTTCCCTGTCTTTTTTGCTTCTCCGCCGTATTCTCACTCTTTTCGCCGGAGCTTACTAAAGCATCACACTTTGGTGAAAAATTCTGAAATTTAAAGCTCTGATCTTTTTTCCATTAGAGAAGTTTCGTTGGATCTGAGAGAGTTCAATTTAAGACGTAAAGTTACAACCTTTTTCGTTATCACACGGCGGTGGGTTTTTTTATTGATGGTTTCCACGGCGGCTAGAACCTCCGGGGCATTTGTTTGTAGATGATGAACGGTGAGGATCGAAGTCGTTCTGGTGATTATTTCACATGGAATGGCAGATCTTGTGTCCTTTAGTAATGCTTCCGACAACAACGTTGAACAAGTTCGTCTCTTTCTCTCTCTCTATCTATGTAGTAAAAAAAAGCTCAAATCTTGTTACCGACCACAAAGTGATTAAGGTTGTCTGAAGCTCAAAGTTGGAAGCTTTTGGAGTTTTTGTTAGTTCAAATTTGTCTAAATTCCGACAAAATCTCATGTCTCTGTTAGCTTGTGCTTAGATCAGTTGTGTCTATCATCTTGTTTTTCTAGTGAACATTTAGGCTTATGGAAAATAAACAGAACCTTGACATTGTAGTTTTTGGAACTTCCATCGTATAACAATGACATTGGAACTGATTACTTTGTAATAATGCAAGGGAACCTTGCTGTCTTTGTAGCGAGTTTCTTGTGTTCTTATGTGTATCTTTTTTGCATTTGGACAGGCATTGATTACATTGAAGAAGGGTTCTCAGCTTTTGAAGTATGGTCGCAAAGGAAAGCCAAAGTTTTATCCTTTTAGACTGTCTAGTGTGAGTTGCTTTCCTGCTCAACAACACTTAGTCTTTGTGCTATCTTTTTGTGGATAATCTGAGAAAACTATGCTCTCTTTGGTGTTGGTTATGTAGGATGAAAAGTCTTTGATCTGGATATCGAGTAGCGGTGAAAAGCGACTTAAGTTAGCTTCTGTATCTAAAATTGTACCTGGGCAAAGAACTGTAAGACCATTCTTCATTTCTTTAACAGTATATAAAAGCATTCGTCTTGGCTTTCAAGAAGATCTGATAAGTGATTTACTCTTTTTTTTCTTTGGCAATAGGCTGTGTTCCAGCGTTACCTTCGCCCAGAGAAAGATTACTTATCCTTTTCTCTCTTATACAACGGAAAAAAGAAGTCTCTTGACTTGGTTAGTCCATTATAAAAACTGATTATTTTTTTTGACAAAACTTTATTTCAGCAACGCTTGTTAATAATAATAACTCTCAGGCATAACAGTTTACTTTTCAATAGATTTGTAAGAACAAGGTTGAGGCTGAAGCTTGGATTGGAGGCCTTAGAACATTAATATCTACAGGGCAAGGCGGGCGCTCTAAGATTGATGGCTGGAGTGGTGGAAACATTTCAGTTGATGTAAGTATTCAGGCAAAGACTCTTTGTATGTATGTTGTACACTTTGGTTGATCAGTGCATCTGTTACATTGCAGGCCAGCAGAGACGTGACATCGATCAGTCCGAGCAGCAGTTCTGCTAGCGCTTCACTGAGTCACAGCTCTCCAGGGACTCCGTTTAGTTTTGATCCAATTGTTTCTCCTAAGAGTGAGGTTCCTTCAACTGATTCAGAGAAATCACATGTTTTATTAGACACCAAAAGTATGCAAACTAAGGTATCTGGTTCAGATGGGTTTCGAGTTAGTGTCTCTAGTGCTCAAAGTAGTTCTAGTCACGGTTCTGCAGGAGATGACGCTGATGCTCTAGGGGATGTATACATTTGGGGTGAGGTTATATGTGACAATGTCGTCAAGGTAGGGCTTGATAAGAACGCAAGTTATGTGACCACGAGAACAGATGTCCTTGTGCCGAAGCCTTTGGAGTCAAATATTGTCCTGGATGTTCATCAGATTGCATGTGGTGTTAGGCACGCTGCGTTTGTGACAAGGCAAGGTGAGATTTTCACTTGGGGTGAAGAATCTGGAGGAAGACTAGGTCATGGTATTGGGAAAGATGTGTTCCACCCTCGTCTTGTTGAATCTCTCACGGCTAATGCATCTGTTGACTTCGTTGCTTGTGGAGAGTTTCACACTTGTGCTGTTACTCTAGCCGGAGAGCTTTATACATGGGGTGATGGTACACATAACGTTGGTCTTCTAGGGCATGGCTCTGCTATTAGTCACTGGATACCAAAGAGAATCGCTGGTCCTCTGGAAGGACTCCATGTGGCTTCGGTTTCTTGTGGACCTTGGCATACGGCTCTGATCACATCATATGGGAGGCTGTTTACATTTGGAGATGGAACGTTTGGTGTGTTAGGGCATGGTGATAAGGAGACAGTTCAGTATCCAAGGGAGATTGAGTCTTTATCAGGACTTAGAACGATTGCGGTTTCATGCGGGGTTTGGCACACAGCTGCTGTTGTTGAGATCATTGTCACACAATCAAACTCAAGTTCTGTATCGTCTGGGAAACTGTTCACATGGGGTGATGGAGATAAAAACCGTCTAGGACACGGTGACAAGGAAGCTAGGCTTAAACCAACATGTGTCCCTGCGTTAATTGATTACAACTTTCACAGGATTGCATGTGGACATAGTTTAACAGTCGGTTTGACCACTTCTGGACAAGTCTTCACGATGGGGAGTACTGTTTACGGTCAGCTCGGGAACTTACAGACAGATGGTAAGTTACCGTTTTTGGTAGAGGACAAGCTAGCAAGTGAGTTTGTGGAAGAGATCTCTTGCGGTGCATATCACGTGGCGGCTTTAACATCTAGAAACGAAGTTTACACATGGGGTAAAGGAGCCAATGGGAGATTAGGACATGGTGATTTGGAAGATAGAAAAGTACCAACTCTTGTGGAAGCTCTAAAGGACAGACATGTCAAGTACATTGCTTGCGGATCAAACTACACTGCAGCGATATGTCTACACAAATGGGTCTCTGGTGCTGAGCAGTCTCAGTGTTCAGCCTGTAGACTTGCTTTTGGTTTTACACGGAAGAGACATAACTGTTACAACTGTGGACTTGTCCACTGCCATTCATGTAGTTCCAAAAAGGCATTCAGAGCTGCATTGGCTCCAAGTGCTGGAAGGTTGTATCGTGTCTGCGACTCTTGTTATGTTAAGCTGAGCAAAGTGGCTGAGATAAGTGATACGAACAGAAGGAACAGCGTTGTGCCTCGTCTCTCAGGAGAGAACAAGGATAAATTGGATAAATCTGAGATAAGATTAGCTAAGTTTGGTACATCTAATGTGGATTTGATCAAGCAATTGGATAGCAAAGCTGCTAAACAAGGAAAGAAGAGCGATAACTTTGCGCTCGGACGCAACTCTCAGCTTCCTTCTTTGATGCAACTGAAAGATGCAGTGCAGTCTAATATAGGAAGGTCTACTCCAAAGCTAGCTCAGCCTCCATCAGTTATTAGCTCCAGGTCGGTTTCACCATTCTCTAGGAGGTCTAGTCCTCCTCGCTCTGCTACTCCTATGCCTTCAACTTCTGGAATCTATTTCCCAGTGGGTGGAGCAGATAATATGAAGAAAACTAATGAGATACTGAATCAGGAGATTATTAAGTTACGAACACAGGTGTGCATCTTGATCTTGATCATGCTTGCTGCTTTGGTTTCATGTTCTTATTTATCTTTGCATTGGGTTTAGGTTGATAGTCTGACTCAAAAGTGTGAACTCCAAGAAGTAGAGCTCAAGAACGCAATGAAGAAGACTCAGGAAGCCTTAGCATTGGCAGAGGAGGAGTCTGCTAAATCAAGAGCTGCAAAAGAGGCAATAAAGTCACTCATAGCGCAGGTATAATCTGGTTTGATATATATACAGTAGCCCTGTGGATTTGAACCAAACCAAACCACAATTTTTGGTTTTTGGTTTTGAGTTCGGTTTGATTCGGAAAGCTTTCGAAGTTTTCTCGGTTTTTCGGTTCAGTTTCGGTGAGTTTTTTTCTCAAAAAAATGAAAAATCCAAAAATTAACCGAATTAACCAAAAATATCCTAGCCATTTTAAAAATTATACCAAAATCCAACCGAAACACAAAAAAAGGGGTTATGTTCGGTTAAAAAATGTAAAATCGAGATTAACCGAAAACCAAACCAATTAGCATATATTTTGGTTTACTTCTGTGGGATTGTAGACCAAACCAAACTAACTGAAAGTCTGAAACCAAAAAATACCCGCCCGAATTAACTGAATTAACCAAAATCCAGGCCTATTTAATATACTTGTGAAGTGTATCGAAGCTTGACGTGTAATAAGCTTAATCTTTGGTTTTGTAGCTCAAGGAAGTAGCTGAGAAGTTGCCTCCTGGTGAGACCATCAAACTGGCCTGCCTACAAAACGGTTTCAATTTCCCTGAAGAAAATGGTTTCCTTCATTCAAGATCAGAGTCCATGACTTCCTCTATATCTTCAGCTGCTCCTTCTGACTTCGCCTTTGCAAACACTTCTTGGTCCAATCTCCAATCACCAAAGCACACTCCTAGAGCCACCGAAAGAAACAACGGTTATCCAGCAGATCCGCGGCTTAGCAGCAGCGGTTCAGTAATCAGTGAGAGACACGAGCCTTTCCAGTTCCAAAACGACAATGGTTCGAGCCACACAGGAGCTGTTAACAGTACTAATGATGTAGAAGCAGAGTGGATCGAACAGTATGAGCCTGGTGTGTATATAACTCTTGTGGCACTCCATGATGGAACTAGAGAGCTTAGAAGAGTCCGCTTCAGGTTAACATATTTGCTCCATGTTCTTGAAACTATGTATGTTACTAAGTGATGATTGATTGATGCTAAAGGTTTGTTTGTTCTTTTTTGCAGCCGGAGAAGATTTGGAGAACATCAAGCAGAGACATGGTGGTCAGAGAATCGAGAAAAAGTGTATGAGAAATATAATGTGAGAGTGTCTGAAAAACCAACAGCTTCTCAAACACATAGAGACGAAGAAGATGTTCCTCACTAGGTTTGTATGGTTTTGCACCATAAGTTTTAGTTTCTTTGCTTTTTTGTCCCGAAACTCTTCATTTGTTCAACTTAACCCTTCTTCTCCTTCATGTCTGTAGATGTAATGTTGTATATATAAACAAGACCATATGTGCTTTAGCAACAAAAACAAAACTATATTAACAATCAATTTAAAAGTGTTGAAGTCTTGTAATTAACCAAAGTCGTCTTGCTTTTGACTTTTTGAAGTTGAAGTAATCATGATTTTTGTGATTAACAAACTAAATGACAACACCATTTGTTGTCATTACCTAATTGTGTGACTAATATGACTATATGTTTATCGAAACATAAGTCAACAACACAACTAACATAGCAACTAAACTCCAACAATTTTCAATGATATATATAAAGATGTACTACTGGTTTATAGTTGGTTGGTTGGTTGATGCTAATAAATGTGTTACATCCTCGCACTACAAAAATTCAAAGTCCTTGTTGAATAATCAAATCGTTACTACAAAACAAACATACGTCAGCTCGAAAGTTTATGATGGTACTTGTATATAGTCACTTACATGCAAAAACTATATAGTTCTCTTTTTGATGGAAATATTAAATTCCATTAGTAGTATATGCAAAACAAAATATATATACCGTTTCATCATTTATAAATGATGACTTCATTTAATTTGTGGCTTCATTATGACATATTTGTTTCTTCTAGTTTATAAATAAACATTTAGATTACTGGACCATATTTTAGCTTTTTGTTTCATACCGCTAATCAGGCATTAAAAGCTTCTCCACTTAAAAAGAAAGAAATAAACAGTAGAACATAGGTTTTAATTAGTGATATAACGAAGAAGGTACATTAGCATGATGCATTACAATGATTCAGTCATGAGTTTACATATAGGATACATAATTCTCCAAACTATAATACAAATAAGGTTGAAATAAATAGGCGTGCATCCAAAAATAGCCCGACCGTAATTTGGTGATTACTTCAAGAAAAACAAAAGGAGAGAAAGAAGCAAACATAACTCGATATCTATGTTATTTAAATATGTAAATATACATAATACGTGTAATTTAGTATATCTTGGTGATCGAAGATTATGGATATCTTTGAGGATTGGTACTCTGCAAACCATAAACATTGTGTTTCTTGGAAGGAGCAGAAGGTGGAATTGGCATTGTCTTGGGCAAAAATCCGGAGAAACTTTCTGGAGGATAATAATCATCATCGATGAAACCATGATTATGATGATGATGAAGTGGATTTGGTCTTCTCACCTTGAAAAATCTTTCTGGTCTAGATGATGATGTGTGTCTTCTAAAGTACTCGGCTTCACAAATCCTCCATGAAAACATTATCATAATCACCATTAGAATCTTCATAGCTTGAATGCGCTTGTTTCTCATTATTGTAAAAGCTTTGCTTTCAGAAAGCTAGTGAGATGAAGAAGAAATAGAGAAACTGTGTTTTGTCTTTGGTGAGTATTCAATATAAAGGGGAGAGACTAGTTGATATTATAAAAAAATAATTGTGCTAACTATTGTATTATACTAGATGTTGATAGAAAGTTTGTATACAGGGGAGTTGATTGACATTTACATAGATTAAAAACTATTCAGTTATACTCCATATTATTAAACTTTTAGAAGTGCTGTGATAAATTTTAACTCTATTTTATTGTCTTTTGGATAAGGATAGATTACATACAGATCTTTACTAAATAAGTTTAACTCTAAATGGCACTCGCAAAACACAAAGAATATTAGTATTGTTTATTGAAAATATAAAAGCTTGGGTTTGTACAACACCATATATCAAGCAAATTAGTTTCTTTCTTTTTTTGATCAAAAGCAAATTAGTTTCTTTGTTCTTCACTTTTACATATGAAAACAAAAGAAGAAAACCAACTAACCAAAGTTTTTGAAATAGTAGTATGAACGAGTCTTATTAAGATTATGCTTTAGAATAATATATAATACATGGAAACTTTAATGTTTTAGGGTATACGCTATTACTATTTTAATTAACTAAATCTAACAACGATCGGTGTACTTTAGAAATAGTAATGGTTTGATTAAAAAAGGCATGGAAGATTGTGTTGTCTAGAGGTGGGAGTGGTTAAGATGTTTTACACTTTTGAACGGGTCCGTTGTAGGGAATTCATATAGTATATGCTAGTATCCAACATAATGTTGGTGTTGGCCAATATTCGCCAGTGATAACGAAACATATATAACTTTGTTATAAACAAATAAGCCCTAAAAGTTTCTGCATATTTTTTTCACTGGAGTAAATGTAGTTAATAAATTTCAAGTGACATTAATTGAGTTATGATGAAAGTAGAAGACAAAAAGAACACATGAGAAAAAAAAATACACATGAAGAATGGGAAAATGAACTGAAGCATTAAATACTATAACAGGAAAGATTGATGATATGGGACCATAATAAGTTTGAAAAATTCAACTGCAAATATAAAATACTAGATGAGTCCCCCATTGCCTCGCTCCTCCTGTCTTCGAATTTTGTTTTGGTAAAATCGGTCAAGTTTTCTCCTCCTTTACTATTGGATACATTAAATCTATTTTTGAAATTTAATAACCAAATTTCGAAACACGTTGTATGAATCAACTAGGATTGAAATAAAGGGTTAAAATAATTATGCAAAATTTTATAGTATATTATTGTCTTTTTCCTTTTCAAACAATTTTTTCAATTGTATCACAATATTACACATAGTTGATGGTTCGTCAATCTTTTCAGCTAACGCAAAGCTCGGCTAATAAATAAGCAACCAAGATTTACGCTCAGTTTCACCGACAAAATAACTTACACACAAGTGTAACACAGGCATATCTATTTGTCTCGCATTAACGAAATCTATACAAAATATTTTATCAGAAAAAAAAAGAATCTATACAAAATTTGAAATAAAGTCACAACTAATATTATAAACGAGCTGAGTTCATTATATGTATGTATAATTAAAAGTAGTACTATTAATGGAGCTCACTAAACAAAAGGAGAAATGCCAAAAGAAAAAGAAAGATCAAAGTGGACCTATATTTGCCGACAAAGATGGGGACATATGCAAAAACGAAAAGACATGTAATATTAAATATTGTTGGATAGATTCAGGTAGCCCTACTTTTACTGATGTGGTCACGCATTTAATATCATCTGGTTGCCTTGTAGGTCCATCGGAAAATTACAAATCCACCGGAAAAAAAATAATTACGAAACTCCCGACAGAATTTTCTTTTCATTTTTTTTCTTCTACAGTTTAATTTTCTGTATACTTCTTTTGGTGGGTCTTGTATTGAAATAAAAAAGCCCATGAAAAGCATTACATGATTGATGGTCAACTCAAACCCAAAACTAATACATTTTGAATAATAGCTAAACCCCAAATCGATAGTGGTCTTCTGAATTGATACCACAAAGTTTTACCTCGTTCCTTTTTCTTTTGTTCAAAGTGTTACCTTGTTCAGACATAACTGAAAAACTATAAGTGGATCTCTTCTCCAGAGCCGAAAACAAGATGGGCCTTAACACTGGGTGTTATAAATAGGCTTTACTGGCTAAATTTTCTTATAGCATTTTTCTTGCCTAACTTCTAACAATAATAATAAAATATTTAATCAAATTAATTGTGGGTCAGATTTACAACATTCGAAATAATATATCTACCACTCACATTAGCAGATCTCTATAATATTATTTGAGAAGTCACTTTCTTAGGTGTCGCGCTCACGTTAACTCTCACGCCGGTTGATTACTATGATATCCCTAATAAATTAAAAATATATTTAAATATTATTATTTCCTTTTTAAAATCTTCCAAATAACAATATAAAACAAAAAGGAAATATTTATAAAATTTAAAAAACTATTTAAAAACGAAAAAACTATATATATAATATGGTTTCATAAAAAACGAAAGTTTACAAAATAGTAATATTTAACTTAAATATATTTTTAAATAACATAAATTATACTTTTTAAGTAATTATAAGTATTTATATCTATATCTTCTTATATGAAAAAAATATATTTGTATATAATGTGTTTTCATAAAAAAAGTTCATACAAATAATCTTGATATTAGAAAAAGAAATATTATTTCATTAAAAAATAATTTAAACAATAAAATATATATTTTCAAAGTAATTAGTTTTTGTATATATCTATCTAATTGATTAGATGATTACATAAAATAATTAAGTAACATAAAATGTTTAATTGGCAAAATATATAATTAGTATATTTATTTGGTTATAATATCTTACAGTTACAGCAAAAAATATAAGTTATATTTTACTTATATAATATAGTTTCTAAAAAAAATCACATTTTTACGCATATTTTATGAGATATTAAAAACAAAACTAAAAATAAATTTAATAATAAACATCTTTTGATAAAATAACTACAATTCTTTTAAAATATCATAACACTATATAATTTAACGAGGTAGATATATTATATTTTAATAGTTAAAAATATCTGTTTTCTTAATAACTCTTTTGATGTTTAATTTTCTGCTTTATGTTTGTCGAATTTAATATAATCATAATGAAAATACTTAAACAAATCAGAATTCCTTATTTTTTAAATTATTTAAAATAAATTTCAGTTTACCATCCAATCAATCTAAGGCATAAATTATTTAAAATTTATAAAATATTTAATTCTTGTAAATATTGATATGTGTTCATAAGCTTCCAAAATTTTATTATTACTTATGTATGTAATTTAGAATCAGACACTCTAATTTTTATTTTTTTCGTTCTAAGCACAAAAAATCTTAAAATACATAATCTTACTAAGATATACTTATATTTCTAAGATAACAACCAACGTAAATGTAAATAAAACAATTAATCAGAAAATTAAGATATTTAGAATAAAAAATATTATAGTCTCTATAATATTATTTGAGAAGTCACTTTCTTAGGTGTCGCGCTCACGTTAACTCTCACGCTGGTTGATTACTATGATACCCCTAATGAATTAAAAATAGATTTAAATATTATTATTTCCTTTTTAAAATCTTCCAAATAACAATATAAAACAAAAAGGAAATATTTATAAAATTTAAAAAACTATTTAAAAACGAAAAAACTATATATATAATATGGTTTAATAAAAAAGGAAAGTTTACAAAATAGGAATATTTAACTTAAATATATTTTTAAATAACATAAATTATACTTTTAAAGTAATTATACTTTATATCTTCTTATATGAAAAAATATATTTGTATATAATGTGTTTTCATAAAAAAAAGTTCATACAAATAATCTTGATATTAGAAAAAGAAATATTATTTCTTTAAAAATAATTTAAAAAATAAAATATATATTTTCAAAGTAATTAGTTTTTGTATATATCTATCTAATTTATTAGATGATTACATAAAATAATTAAGTAACATAAAATGTTTAATTGACAAAAAAATATAATTAGTATATTTATTTGGTTATAATATCTTACAGTTACAGCAAAAAATATAAGTTATATTTTACTTATATAATATAGTTTCTGAAAAAAAATCACATTTTACTGCATATTTTATGAGATATTAAAAACAAAACTAAAAATAAATTTAATAATAAACATCTTTTGATCAAATAACTACAATTCTTTTAAAATATCATAACACTATATAATTTAACGAGGTAGATATATTATATTTTAATAATTAAAAATATCTGTTTTCTTAATAACTCTTTTGATGTTTAATTTTCTGTTTTATGTTTGTGGAATTTAATATAATCATAATCAAAATACTTAAGCAAATCAGAATTCCTTATTTTTAAAATTATTTAAAATAAATTTCAGTTTACCATCCAATCAATCTAAGGCATAAATTATTTAAAATTTATAAAATATTTAATTATTGTAAATATTGATATGTGTTCATAAGTTTCCAAAATTTTATTATTACTTATGTATGTAATTTAGAATCAGACACTCTAATTTTTATTTTTTTCGTTCTAAGCACAAAAAATCTTAAAATACATAATCTTACTAAGATATACTTATATTTCTAAGATAACAACCAACGTAAATGTAAATAAAACAATTAATCAGAAAATTAAGATATTTAGAATAAAAATATTATAGTTGAATTCAGAGAAATAGATAGAATATATATATATATATATATATATATATCTAAATGATAAAACTAACTAAATGTAAAATATATCTAAAATTATATATAACTAAAATAATACAATATTATTAATATAAATTCTACATAAAAACTATAAATTAATATAAGTCAAAGTAAATATCAATCAACTATTATAATATCTTTATTTTATAAATATTTATGTCCGTGCATGAGCACGGGAAAATCACCTAGTACTAATGTAATTGTGGTAACTTTAGTTTATTAAACAGAGATATCATCATGATGACCAACAAAAGATACATAGATGTCTTTATTCATTACAAACTAAGGTACTACAACATACTATATATAATATATTTTTATTCAAGAAAAACTACATCATACTATATTTATTACATGGATCTCACAAGCATTTTATACTCCAGCAATCATGAAAAATATATGAAGATACCCATATACATCACCTTATTTTATTTGATTATAATCCATGTGACCAAATTTAAACTCTCATGGACGACAACCAGGTTGGTCAGGTTGGTTGAAACATTCCGGAGGAACAGGAGTGTACGGGGGGGTAGCCCCGTACGGAATCGGACGCGGATACTCAGTTAATTTCCGACCTGTAAGACAAGTTATAACCATATTAGTTAATAATAATGTCACTGTTGATAAGAACCAATGATACATCTGAGATTTGATATTATATGTTTAATGTTTGTACGATGTTATATATGGAAACGTACCAGGAAAAAAGGTTTGTGCATGGGAGATTATGCAAAGCGCCATGAATGAAAAAAGCATCACCACAAGGAGCTTAGATGACCTTGACATCTTAGCCATCACTATGTAGTATCTCTGTCTCTCTGGTTCACTAGTGTCTCTTTGTTTACTTTGCAAGACTCGGAACCTAAGTTATGTGAACCTTATTGGGGTGATTAGTATTTATAGACGATAATATTGGAATAAACACACATTTTTTATTACATTTATACCCTTATGGCCATCTTTTTTTTTTTGTGAAGCAAATATCATTCAAATAAATTAGGTCTGATACCTAAGAGTTCCTCCTCATATGCTCAGAGGCTTAACCATTGTATTACTAAAAAAATACTGACTAAACATGATTCCTTTAACCTACCTGAGTTATCTTATTCAATGTAAAACAAAAGATTCTGTTAATAGTTTCCACATTCCTGACCTAGTAAATTTTGTTGGGGGATGACAACAAATAAATAATATGGACAAAAGTTTGAATAGTCTGATGAATGTATCCATTGAATAGTCTGATGAATGTACTATCGAATAGTCCTACTATTTATATCTCAAGGACTTAAAACGTGATATAATTCTTCTTTTGCTCTTTGTCAATGATGACCGGTTAATATCAGATTAATGAAAATTAAAGTTCCATAAAAAATGAAACCAAACTGATAGTGACTAATCAACATGCATGGACGTTGGACATAACATCGCTGCTATCAAACATCAAACACCTCTACACGGTCCTAACCATATATGGAGTATCAACCTTACAATATGCTGACTTATCTACAAATCTATTAAGTTGATAATAGGTATAACATTACGTTTTTGTCACTCCATACCCCACTAGTAGCTGTACAGAAGCCACCTTGCTTAGGTATTTTTGTTTGCTTTCGCATGACTTTCTTTGCTCGGTATTGAGTCTTGAGTGAGTATCGTGGTCCTAAGAAGAATTGACCAAGACAAAGATTTCATGATATATTATCACTGATGAATTACATAAGTTTTTAAAATGCGGATTCAGAAAGTATTTAACTAGGGGTAAAATAATATAAGAAGCTAGAAGTAAAAATTGTCATCTACCTTCAACATATTTTAATTGTTTTACAAATATTTATAGATTTAATTTTGACATATTTTAGAAAATCACCTGTTAAAATATTTAAGTTAAAAAAACATTTAATTAATCCAAAACCTTGATATGATATCAGTGCGGATCCATATTGATCTATTAATCCGGTTTGGACACTAACCCGATCATCCCATTGAAAGTTCGGTTCCTCCGAGATTTCTAGAAAATAAAATATTGTCGCATAGAGGGTATGATGGATTCTGTGAGATTAATGGTTGTACATATACTTATCTCGAAGGAGGGTGTTATAATAAATATCCCACATCGGATATATGTAAGGGACTTGAACCAGTACACTAATTATCAATTGGTTTTAGGTTAAAAATTTATCTATCTTATATATTGTTTAAGATTCTTTCCAACTACCAATATATGATAAACTTTATCAATGTGGGATATTTTGTTCCTACAATGCATATTTTTCATGGGCCATGCATATTTTCATATATAAATAACCCATATTCTTCAACTACCTTGAAGAATATGCGCCCCTGTCTATGCATATTGTTTTCATTCTGAAAGAGAAATAGGAGTATTTACATATTCGCACATACAAATACAAAAAAGTCAGTATATAGTGGTAATTAATACTGATGTATCAATTTCACCAAATAAAAGCCAATATGTACATTGTTTCAAAATAGGGTTGCAATATTATCATTTTCTTAAGGTCTTTTGTACAATTATTTATGAAAACCTACAACCTGCAATAACACCCTTAGCTGCTTCGCTTAGATGAGGATCCGGTGAGTTTCTAAACGCCATGATACATCGTTTCGAGGTTTTAAATTTCTCACAACATGGGCTTCGGAATGTAGGATTGCTAGATCTGCTGTACATATGCATTTCAACACAATGTTTAACATCTGGACTGCATGTTGCTGGCATTGGCTTCTTTATACAAACGGGGTTTTTAAAATGACAACCTCGAACCACTCCATCAGCAGCCATTTGTTGCTTAGCATTCGTGGACATAAGGAATTTACACACGCACGATACTGCGGTTCTAAGTTCCGTACAACATTTTCCATGGTATGGAGGCGCCCTGGGGTTGGCTCCGGCTATATGCTTGGTGACACATCCTGCAACCTTTTTGCATTCTGCTGGTATTGCCGTCTCACTAGGTTTCTTGGGGAACACAACGATAGCCGCACCCGCGTCGCCTCCACCTGCTTTTTTACCGGGTGGAGATCCATTTTTATAGCCAGAACTAGTATCGCCACTCTTATAGGCGCCTGGACCCCCAGTCCTATATCCGGGATCCGGAGCTTTATATTCAGTGCCCTCCCCACTTTTATAGCCGGGGCCAGTAGGGGGGTTAGTCCCTCTAGACCCCCCGCCTGCGGTAGCCGCAGGAGTGCCTGAAGGGACATGACTAGAGGGGGCTTTGATCAAAGTTGGCAATAATGACATTGATATTAAAAATGGAATGAGAGCCACTGAAATGATCTTCATGGCTAATGAAGTAGATTTTTTTTTATTTTAATTTTTGTAGAAATGACCTTTTCCTTTATTTATATCTGTTTGGGGGTCTTTAAATAGGAACTTGAAAAATTAATGGTTCATATAATATGGAAAGTGGGAATCGATTCCTATAAAGAGATGGTAAAGCCTCCATATTCTAATTATTTACAAACTAAAACGATTGAGTCGTTCAATAATAGCTTTTTCCTATTGTTGGTTCTCTTTATGTGGAGAACTAGCTTTTTTATGGAGGTTGTGACATGCTATCAACTGTTCGGTCTAGCTCCTATGAGGTTTTTGCTTTGTTATTTTGTTGCATGATGCAAACTAATATGCGTGTTGACCGGAACTTAATGCAAGAACCAATGAATTAAGAAAACTTAGATAACTTTTGAATGAATGTAACATTTATTTTAATCAAAAACATGTGTTACATCTAATGCTTCTATTGTTGATTTAGTAAAGAATCAAGAAATTGAATTTGAATAAAACAATCTTCATGTTGAGGTAGAAACTGAGATTCTTGTTCCAAACTAAGTCACCAACCCTTCTTCTATATAAAAATGATTTGTTCAATCATATCAAAGTAGCATACACTATATGAAAATATATTTGCTATGGTGCTCATTCTCCAGTTATAAAGTATACTACTCTCTATTTCTTACATTGATTAAAGTTTTGAAAAAAGTCAGACATACGTTTGTTTATCTCAATATCCTTGGACTTAAGGATACTTGTTAAACAAGCTTGCGCACTGTTCTCTTTATACTTCACACAACAACCTTTTGGCGCTGGTGCTCCGGTTATAATGGAGCTTAGGCAAGGGCCCTTCATTAATTATAGTAGCTGTTCAAGATTCCAAATAAAAAAAACAAGATGGCTTTTAAAGTTTGTAAAATTAGCTGTGTTTTTTTTCATGTTGTTTCAAGTCCTTTAAAAAAGAAATTAGAATAAATAGTTCCTACAAAACATGAAAAATGTTAGGTGGGAACTTATTCCTATAAATAAGGGGAGGATATGCTAATTCTATTGTTATTCACCAAACAAACAATTGACTTGTTCATTATCTTCATTCTATTGCTAGCTTTGATCAAAGTAGGAAACAATGTCAAGGATATGGTTATTGCAATGAGAGTCTATGACAATGATCTTCATGTATAGTGAATTAGAATTTACTATAGTTTGTAGAAATGACCTTTGCTCTATTTATTTGTTTTGGGTCTTTAAATAGAAACTTGAAACAAAACGATAATGACTAAATGACTAAATAAAAATAGATAAAATGGTTAGTTCTTGGCTTTGGGTTGCATAATGTATATGTATCTTGAACGTGATCATCAGTTGTAACACACATGTATTAGACAATAAGGCACACACTCAAATATCATAATGATTTGTTAAAGCAATGATTGTTACACAAGCAAAAGACTCAAAGTGACCTAATGTTTGGGTTTGGATGACCTAGTTTTAGCAAACTCAACCAAGTCTTTGAAAAGCATATCCTCTGCTTTCTTGGTTTCATTATTCATAGAGAGGTTCCTGGTCTGTCCAACAAGACCATCGTAAGAGGAATCAGAGCCGCTACTCGAGTGATGATGATGCTCAAAGAACTGTTGCCTCTGGTTGTGTCTTGAAGGTGGAGGTGGAAGATTCCTTATAACCTCAGTATCCCATGGAGCAGGAGGAGGTTGCACAGGAGATTTTCTTAGTGGAGAAGACGGCACAGCAGCAGCAGTAGGAGGAGCAGGAAGAGGAGGAGAAGGCTGCCGCTTGACTCCTTGTGAGGAAGCTTGAGTTTTATAGACATCACCACTAAGGAAATCCACCGTACTTGACTCAGTAGTACCATCCACAGGTCTCAATGGAGGTGGTGGAGGAGGAGGAAGAATCTGGCTGGAATCTCTCTTAGACCTTGTAAAGAGTGAATAGATCGTTTTAGAAACAATGTCAATATCTCAGAAGAGGATACTATTCTTACCTGTGAGCTAGCTGAGCAAAATCATCATCTGATTCATCGTCATCGTCGTCATCATCATCATCATGATTGATGTTGACTAGCTGAGTTGGAGAAGGAGTTGTTGTAGTGCTGCTTCCATTTGAAGGAACAGAGGCAATATCATCGTGACGCTGAAGAACACGCTGCAAGTTATCGTTCAATGCTAATCCCTGGCATAGAAGCTCCTCGTCTCTGAAGAAAAAAAACGAATAACCATATCACCAAATGAGAGGAAATAATCATGAAGCAAGAAGAAGAACAACAAAACTCACGTTGTAGTGTTGACAAGAGTCATTACACGTTTTTGATAAGTACGACATTGCTCCACTAAGTCAACTATAAGCTCTTCTTTCAAACCCTACAAGAACAACATCCACAAGATACAACCAGTTCACTTCCATTACATCAAAACAAAACCATTGCAAGCAAACTCTTACATCGGGATTTGTGGGATCAAGTGCTCCAAGAATGTCCATCAAAACATCAACTGATCCCTCAGCACTTTGAATCTCTTCCTTACTACAAGAAAACAAAAACTCAAATAAACAACACTTCACCAAAACAAAACCAAACCAATAGACAAAGAATATGATCTACTTAGTACCTGAGGCTAGAAGCATCATCTTCTTGCAACGACGCCTCAATAGCAGCATCTTCATCTAATGGAATAGGCTGAGTCTGAGGTGGAGTAAAGAAAGATAGACTACTTTCCGTTCTTGGTGGAAACTCAATTCCAGCAATCTGAGGTTCAAAACCATTGTCACAACTCACAACTCATTAAATAAAAAAGAAAAAAGACATATGATCTCTTCCCTAACATACCCTGAGTTCATTATACGCATTGTAGTATTGAGGATATTGACCACCACGTCCACCAAAAGCTTCTTGCCATGTATCTAACAAACTTAGTATCTTCTCCCTCACATTCAAGTCCGGCTGCATCAATTAATAAACTTACAAGTTAAGCCAAAGTTTCCTTAAATAGAATGGAGAGAAGCAAGTGAGCTAAACCTTCTTCTTCACTATTTTGACCATATCAGTCAAAATATTACGTTCTATAATAAGCTTGCAAACATTCTCTCCACAATTCTTACTTAAAGTCTCCAACGCCTACACCAAAAAAACCCCAAGAAGAGCATCAAGTTCAGCACACACATGAAACCAAACCACACCAAACCAAAGACATTGAATGAATCAAAGTAAACTCACATAAAGTGCAAGAATCTGGACTTTAGAGTTTTTACTTCCTAACCGTTTCTTCAGCACCTTCACTGCTCCTTTCCCTTGACTTAAGTCATTGAACAAAAGTAAAAAAAAGAAACTGTTACATAAAAGAAACTGAAACTAGCCGTGACTAGTGACTATGATTATACATTACCTAGGGTTCATGTTGATGATATCACACAGTTCAATGTTAATAGCCCAGTCAGGACCAATCAACTTATCGTTAGTAGCTCTCTCTGCACATGCAGCCGCATCATTCGCCATCTTATGATTCTCTGACCAATCAAATCCCTTAAAGCTCTAAACTTTCTATAAGTACACAGATCAAAGCACAACACAATCTCTTCAGTCCAAAGCTATAACAAACCAAACATAGCATTGGAATCAATTTGTTGAAACTAAAACAACCAATAGCAAGAAGAGAATCAAAGCAAAGAACTTTTTTTTTTACCTTGTTGAAGAAGAGTGAAACAAGAGAATATTTTTGGAATGGCTCAGGATTTTGAAGGAGATTGAGATGATTTGAAGGGGAAACCTTTCAACTTTTTTAAGTCGGACACGGCAAGGATTATTCTTGATCGTGTCTAGGTAAAAGGGTTAAAGGTGAGTCGTTTGGGCGTTTAGAATCAACGGCGACTCTTCTTCTTCTATTGAAGATTAGATGCACGAAAAAGGCAAACTTGTGATTTGGGTTTTTGTCTTGCCTTTTTGTCTATTAATGTCACAGTCGGTGACATTTAGACCAAGTCACCGTCAACTGTTATTACAAGACTTCGTGTAATGTCTCTTCTTGTCTTTTCCAATAAGAGCGTTTTCCAAACGCAAGAAAACAAACAAGAAGCGGAAAAACGCGTTTGGACGATGACCATAAACGGCGACGTATATCACACACAAGTCTAGAAAGAAAGACCCAATCAAACAACACACAAGTGTATACACAGAAAGACTGACTTCACTCTTCTTGAACTTTAAGCCAAGGCAAAGATCATTGACATTGATTTACTTTTTAGGCCAAAAGCAGCAAGAACAGTTTTATGGATGAGCAAAATATTCGGATCCGAAGAATAGACCTGAAAAAATCAGGGTTCTGAACCCGACCGAATTCAGAATAAATAACCGAATGGATCCTAAATTGCTATATCCGGAAAACTTGTTTCGAATATGACCCGAACCAAAAACCAAAAGAGTATTCGAAAATATCTGAAATGTAAATATATATCTGAAAATATTATTCATAATTATACTTATAATTATTTTACTATAATTCAAAATTATAATTATAAATTAAATATACTAGTTATTTTGATATTCTGAGTGTTTTTAGATAAAATATGATATTTTGGATAGAAAATACCCAAACAAAACCATGTTTAATGAGTATTTTTAGTTATTTTTAAGTAAATTAGGTAGTTTGGATTTAAAATACCCAAACTAAATCGAGTAATATGGTTATTTTGAGTACAAATAACCAAACTCGTTTCAGACACATTGGTTACTAGGTGATTTTCCCGTGCTCATGCACGGATGTGAATATTCATAAAAGTAAAATTTTATAATAACTGATTGATATTTAATTTTAGTTTTGAATCAATTTATATGTATAATTTATATTAATAAATATTACATTAATATAATTATACATATGACTTTGGATATATTATTGTCGGTTTAGTTACTTTTTGGATCAATAGTCGGTTTGGTTATCAATTCGGTATATTTGATAATATCTATTTTTTTTATTTCAGCTATAGTATTTTGTATTCTAAATATAATAAAATTTTGATTAATTTTCTTATTTTCATTTCGGTTGGTTATTGTACTTAGATATGTAAATATATTTTTTGACCAGAAAAAGATATGTAAATATATTCTTAGATATGTAAAATATATTATAGTTAAATTATGTATAACTTAATATATATTATGCTTAAAATGAAATAAATAATAAGCTGCAGTGTTTGATTCAAAATTACATAAATGAATATATGGAGAATTTCAATTATACCACTTTGGTGGTACCACTTTTCATGTTTACCATCAACAAAGGAACATTTTCAAAAATACACATTTTATTAAAGGATAAAAGACTCTTATATCCTTGTTCTTTATATATATACATAAAATAAATATTATATAAAATATTAACCCTAAACCCTAAAACATCAATTCTAAACTCTAGGCTCTAAAAAGTAAACCCTAAACCCTAAAATCAACCCTAAACCCTAAAATATCAATTCTAAACCTTAAACCCTAAACTCTAAACCTTAAAAAGTAAACCCTAAAAAATCAACACTAAACCCTAAACTATCAATCCTAAACCCAAAAGCCAAAACCCTAAATTCTAATAGTATTTTGACTATTAAAATTTTAATGGTAAAGTTGGTTAGTGTAAAGTTGAAAAGTGGTATCCTGAAAGTGTTATTTCTGGCAATTTCCCATGAATATAATGATAATATTTTGAAATCTCATGCATATATATAAATGCTAAAAAGAATTAAATTGTAATGGGTTAATATTTCTTTTTCATTTTAATATGATTTGAGTCAACCTCTAATTTATATGTATAAAATTAAATAGATTATTATTATTATTATTATTATTATTATTATTATTATATAATTATATGTTCTTATTGTAGTTAGATGTCTAATTTTGGATATAAATTAGATTAGTCGAGTCATTCATTTTTTGAGTATATTGAGTTAAAGATATTTTTAAATTAAAATTGAAGTATAGTTACTTTTTATTTTAGTTAAGTCAAATCAAGTTAGTTTTATTTGTTGCTTAAATATACATGTATTTTCATAATATTTATTTATTCTTTATTTTAGTTAAATCAAATCAACTTAGTTTTATTTATCGCTTATATATACATGTATTTTCATAATATTTATCAAATTATATGTTGATTTCTAAAAAATATTAGAAACTAAAGTGTAACTGATAAATTTTTGGATGTTCATGAACATATATATTTTTATTATTTTGAAAATATATTTTATGTTATTTAAAATTATATATTAATGGGAGTATTACTATTTTGTGAACTTTCCTTTTTAATAAAGTCATATTATATACATGTATATTCGTTTTAAATTTTTTAAAAATGTTTAGAAATATTTCCTTTTTATTATATATGTTATTTGAAAAAAGGTAAAAAAAAAACTAAATAAAAATAATAATCTAAAAATCTAAAAATTCATTAAGGGTATCTAAGTAATCAACCATCGCGAGAGTTAACGTGAGCGCGACACATAAGAAACTGACTTCTCAAATAATATTATAGAGATTTCCGAACCCATCCGGACCCGGAAAGAACCGACTCGAACCCAATCCAAACATGTATAATATCCGAATGGGTTCCGAATTCAAAATCCAAAAAACCCGATAACCGAAAGAACCGACCTATCCAAACGCCCAAGCCTAAGCATTGGTATGTATACTTTTATCGGTTTATGTTAGCACAAGCTGGAGTATCAATCTACATATAACATATCATCATAGCCTCTATATAGATACATGACAAATATTGACAATAGGCTTACAAAGAAAACTCAAAGAAAGGGGAACTACAAGAAGAAGAGGAGAAAGGGATATAGAATCTTCGGCTGTACATTGAAGAAGATGTTCATGTCATCTTCACCATTCCTGGATTCCAGTTATATGAATCAGTAATCTTGTACAACCAGTGAAGAAATTTTCGTTTCAATCTCGTAAATTTACACTCCAGAGGAAAGATAAGCATCCGCTCTTTTCATCCCTGTTTCAAAACCCCCACAATTCAAACAAATTAAACCACAAATGTTGCAGAGAGATACAATTAGGAAACAGAGAGATATAGTTAGGCATGATGAATCTAGTTGCTATTGTAATCAATCTTTAGTGTTATACAAAGCATATGATTAGCATCTTCCCTCATTACATTTGAGCAAAGATAAAACCAAAAACCATTAGCCTATATCAATCTTCAACGTCTATATAGTCTAAAACTAACAAAGCAGTTATATAACCAAAGAATATATATCATCAAAAAGAAACCTTTACCTTAGACTGCTTCGGCTACGATCGCTATTGCTTCTGCTGCTACTACCAACACTACTCTTTGAGCTCCCACTATTGATCCTCGTCACACCTCTCAAACTCCCACTCGACTCTGACTTCCACCACTCTTTATCCTCCGAAACCGAAGCCCTCGGAGAAACCCAAGAGCCTCTACTCGTCACAGAACAATCATCCTCATCCCTCTTCTTCGTCCTTTTCTTACCACCCAAGCTAACAGGAAACACCATTTTCAGAAGAAACCCACTACTGTTTCCTCGAACCGGGTCAACCCATCTATCACTCCTCACCTTCCTCACACCTTTACTCTGTTTCTTCCTTCTCTGAGGCATTTCGTCGAACACCTTCCGATCATTCTCCTCCTCTGTTTTCACCTCGACGAGATCCTTCAAGGAGAGCTCGTAGCACGACTCGGGCATCTTGCTAACCATCTCCATAAGCTCTCGTTGACCACGAGCGATGGCTTGAGCCTTGGAAACGGCGGAGAGGTTGTGGTGATTGGTTTGAATGTGGGGAGGACTGTTCTTCCACAGAGGAGGTGAACAGACGCCGGAATCTTGATGATCATCGAACGTTCTGGGGAATATCAAATGGGTATTGAACGATTTTGAAGAAGGATCAAACATTGCTTTTGAATCAGACAAATAAAAATGCGATTTTTTTAGAGTCTTGTTGAAGCTAACACAACATATCACATATGTAATGATATATACTATGTCTTTTTAAGACAGACGGATATACTTGAAATTAATAGAAAATATAGTCAATGTTTTTTGGAGTTTAGTTAGGGTATTGTTGTCATTCCGTTTTAAATGATGAAATGATATTTTATAAATTAATTACAACAACGATGCTTTGTTTTATAATCTGAATCAACGTTTAGTATGTTGCTTTCAAACAAAAAAAATAACTTTTAATTAGTATGTTTATTGCGGTTGCTGTAGTGCGATGAAATCATGGAAGATTTTCTTCTAGTAGCTTAGTTCTAACTTATAACAATAGAACTTTTTCTTCTAGGTAAGCAAATATATAATCTGTCATGATTATTTGACTATTAGGAGCATAGAGATGTCTAATGCGTAAGGGATACGGCAGACAGATTTTATAAGTCTTTTGAATCTGTCTACTGAAAGCATAAGCGTGTCGAATCACGAATGGTTTATTTTGTCTTTCCTAATTCCTTAACGTATCTATCAAGATGACGAATAACGTTTTTGCTTTATTTTCCATATAATAAAGTCGTGTTTTGTTAAAGAACTATCTCTCTCATTCTGATCCTATAGATTTTTTGTTTTGTTTTGTAATCATAGAAAGTATTTTGTGTGTACTGTGTACATAACCTAACATAAATAAAGAATTTACATAAACGATAGTGAAGATAAACTAAACAATATTTTGTTTCGTAATTTTGGTTAAGGAGAAGCTATATAATTGATATTTTTTTGTAAACCTGACTTCATGAATAATTGAATATGATCATGATTGTAGTGTGAATTAAATTCGGTTTTAAACAATTTCGACAACCACGTGTAACCATATAATAATAGCAAATAATTGATGGCATTGATAGTAACTTCGATCACGTCCCTTCTAAAAAACTATAAAGTCAACGTGTATTTATGTAAACAATATAGTCACTATTGTCTCTGATTAAGACAAATTGCCTACAATATTCTCCAATTATTCAACTACGCATATTAAAAAAACTCTGCTCATGTTAAGCTTTATTGTTCTAATATAGTTTTCTTCATCGTGATATATATTAAAATGGATATATAACGTATTATTACCGTCAATACTGAAGGGACCCAATTTGTGTAATGAGTACTGTCTCCATAAGTCACCAAACATCTTGCAGCTTTCAGGGGTTTCGCTGCTTTTTTCATTCCATTTTTATCCATCACCTCCACTTAAATATTCTTTACTGACCATTACCCTCTTCTTCTATAATTTGTTTTCCTTCTAGAACTCTTTTTGCAATGATAGGCTCTTTTAATTTTTGCTCAAAATTAACATACATGTATGAGCGCTGATGTGCTCACAATGACGACAGTTCTAAGCGTTTAAGTTTATTCAAGAAAATGAACGTTGCTTGCATAAGACGCACTCGGATCACCTTTACTGTGGTTTAGTGGAAGAGGGAAAGGAAACTGTATTGAAACAATGAAGTTGGATTGTGGTTTTGTTCTACGCATGGAGCACTTTTCATGTATGGTCCAAGTTCTAGTTGGGCTATTGTTCAATACCCAATTTGAGTGTGAATAACACTAGCAGAAGCAAAACAACAAGCCAAGGTCCAGCAAGAAGATTGTTGGGTGAGCTAAACTTCTTTGTCTCATTTCCTTTATAGCCCATAAAGTAACTATTTTCTTCTGGCACTATGTTTCTGCATGCACTGACTTATTTACATGGCAACCATTAAGGATTGTGGTTATATAAAAGAAAAAAAATTTAGATTGTTTCTGGTCGTGTACGTAGCAAACTTCAAATAACTAGTCATATGACATTTCCAACCATTTATGTGACACTCTGCCGAGGAATAAAGATTGGGTGGTTTGATGGGAAGTTAGTCTGAGTTACAAACCACAAGATCAATATCCACTTTTGGTTTTATTGTCCAAGTAAAAATAGTAGCTGTTGACTTTGAAGACTCAGTGCATCATGTGACAGTAAGCCTCAACATAAACCACCCAATCTCTATGAGTGGATCAAAGTGGTAAGCATTAAGAAGAAACATGTTTTATTTATTTTTTGGTCTTGGGGATAGTTGACCAAAAAGGGTTGTTTCAAAAGCAGTGTTTGAAGATATTTTTGTTGTTCAACATTTAAGGTGGGAGAGGTCGAGGCCATCACATTGTTCCACTAAGCAATGTTCTTTGTAGGAAAAGCACTTTGGTATAACTTTATTTTATTTTTCTTGTTGGTGTTGTACGAAAATAGAGAGAGGGGATAATGGAATTAACAATGAACACAAAATGTGGAATACATTATTGAGCATTCACATCAAATGCTATCTCTTGCTAGTTTCTTTTTTTTTATTAACCTTTTCAAGAAATCTCTAGGCTCCTATCGTCATCAATCTTTATGACAATTCAAATATAGATATCTAAATAAAAGCATTATGAAGTTTATAAGCCACCCAAATTTGAGGAGAAACAATCTTTCAAACCTCTTTAGTACAAATTTTGATAAGGTACATTTAGTACTCGATTCTTTCAATTTAACAAGCTTTTGACTTGTTAATAACTCTATTAAAGGAGAAAATTAAAATCATTCTTCTTCTTTCTATAAGAATACTCTTAATTAGTGTAAATTATTGCAAATTTGGCTGGTTATATGTGTACTGTTTGTGGTTGACAACAAAAAGAAGTGAACTGTTTATGATGTATGCATCGATGTATAAGACAAAGAGATCGTGTAATTTAGCAAAATGAAGAAAATTATGGACCATTGGCTGGGATCATTTTGGAGAAATGAAGAAACATATAGAAAGAGAGTGACGTCGATAGAATGTGGGGAGGGGATTATAATAAAGGGCAAAGATACCGAATCTTCTTCTCCTATATAACACACCCACACAAAAACATTAATTTGGTGAACAATTTCAAGGGATAATGTGATCATACAAATAGACAAAGCAAATTGCGTTGGTGGTAGGAGAAGTAGATGGAAAAATAAAGAAGCAAATATATTTATATAATAATATCTACTCATTTGTAATTTTTGACATGGGCAGACTACACTGCAAAACTTTACCTACATCATTTTGTCATTACACTTTTGTAAGAAATACTTATTTTTAGTTGTGATATATGAGTCGAAACCCAATTAATCTTTACCACCGGAGATGGTATAGACGAATAACCCAATTTTAGATATTCAAATAAGATTTAAAACAGCATAACCAACAAGCTACAAATAATTATATTCTAATATATATATATACCTTTAAGTAAATCATCTTGATTTAGTGGTAAAATCGTTTTAGTTGGAATTTTTATCTTGAGTTTCAATTCATTTTAGTTATCTACTATATTATTTATGGATTAATTGTCTATTCGTATATAAAGTCTTATGGAATTAGGTTTTAGAATTATTTTTTTTTATGATCTCGCGCAGGTCTGGTCCGGAGAAAATATGGGCCGGAAACAAAAAAAAAAGGATCTATTAATTAAAAATATGGAAATATTATTCTTTGAACTTGGTACGCCTCATACAACAAATCTAAATTTAAATCAATTACACTATCGAAGATATTGATAAACCGAAGACCGAAAAATTTGATAATCTAATCAGGGCCGGAAGCACGTGCTTGTATTGCTTATACCTAGGGTCACTAGTGATCCCACGGTTATCAAAAGTCAAATAAAAAATCTGCAAATCCAGAGTCAGATGTTATTTTCTTTGTTTGTCCATGCAAGGCGATGTTTTTTTTAAAAAAGCATAAAGATGTTTACAATGCGAACTTGAATTTCTTGCACAGAGATTGGGTCGTTAGAGCATCTCCATCCCTGAAACTCTAGCAAGAGTTCATAAGTTTTTTTTTTTAATTTTTTATTATTTTTTTCAGAACTAAAAAAAAAAAAAAAAAAAAAAAAAGAACCACTCGCGGGCCGACACTTGGCAATCAGGCCTGTGAACAGTGTAAGAATTGCCTCTTAAATAGAGAGTTTTGTAACCAAACTCTTAACTATTCATCGATGTGACAGTATTGTTTATTAATTTTTTTTTTTTTTAAAACTTATGAACCCCTCCGAAGTTCACCATTGGAGGTGGTCTTAATAATTATCGGGCCTTACGAAATGTAACAAGAAACATGTTTTCAGAACGAATATTATATCACATATGAGTATTATATTAAACCGTTATGGCTTATGGACCGTGTTATCGTTTACCTTCTTTTCCTCTCTTTAAGCTTTAACCGTTTCTTGAACTCTGTCGTTTACTCACTGAAACGGTATTAACCCCGTTGTTAAAGCTATGGTCAACCAACACCACAAGAAATCAGTAAATACGATGTGTGTTTTTTTTTTACAAATATATCAGGCAAGAGGGCTATATTTTTGTAATTTTATGAAGTTTTCCATGTCGACAAAGCAACTTAAAAAAGAAAAAAAAAAGACAAAGCAACTAACTAAGTGACAAAACCAACCGCCCGTAATAACCCGTGAGTTCCAAACGCTTACATCTTCACGCGCACTTTGCGTTGTTCAAAGTATAATTTGTTCAGATTAGTGATGTAAATTACCACCATCAAACTCCAACACATACATCACGTTGATCTATAAACAGTGTTTAGTGGTCTTTCAAAAACCAATTATAGATAGTGGTGACACGCGCTGAAGCAAGCGTGTGTTGAAAATGTGGAATAGTTCGTATGAAACACCACCACTAAATATTATAATGTTCGCTTCGTCAGGTCTGACTAATACTCATTTAATTAAAAGAGTATTTTCAGTTAAATTTATAAAAAAGTTTGTCGTACCTTATGGCTAGATTCCTATTAAAGCCTCTGACGTAGAAAGAAGTTTCAATCTCATTAAAAGAAAAAAAGAGAGAACGTTTAGGCAGAGAGAAGAGGCAGGTGGACAGACATCTTTTTGTTTCTCCTTGTGGACACTTTAGC